TCAAATGCTGATCTTTGGCCAATTGTTTGGCAACAGGAAGCAGTGGCAAGTACCATACTCCAGAGTCAGGGTCTTCATTCAGCACTTCAGTGTGGAGCCTTAGCCCTGTGAGTGTTCTGATCCCTGTGCAAGCTTTAGGCCTGGCTCTTGGCAGCATCCACTCTCACAGCCTTTGGCCTGGGGGCTGAGACCCACGGTCCTGAGGACTGGAGAGTTCTCTGGTGAACAGGGCCTACAGGTTGTTTTTCTACCTTCTTGTAGCCATTTACCCTTTAGTCACCTCTCTGCTCCCTCATCTTCCTCCCTCCCCTCTTCTTCCTGGCTGCTCTCAGATCTCACTCGGGTCGAAAATCTCAGCTGATGGCATGCTGCAGAGATGACTGAGAATATCTGTCTGTCTGTCAAGGCGTGATTGTCACTCGGGCAGCCAGGGTCTGACACTGTTGTGATCATTCAGACATGGACATTCAGCCAGTATGTCCTTGGCTTGGGATAGGCCAGAGGGGCGGGACTACTAACCAGTGAGGACCACCGCTGCTGGACATGTCTGGGTCCTTGGCTACCTCTTCCTTAGGCATAGAGCAATCATGCCGTTTTCAGCTATGCAGCAGCTGCTGCCGTCACCAGCACTCTTTGTTGTCTCTTCCTTGGTACTGCCAGCTTGGTTGGCACTACTGAAAGTATGCAAGAAAATATCACTGTGGAGAATCCTTTTAACCAGGCAAATGCTACAACAGCCTACTCACAGAGTAAACCAGAGCAGACTGTTTCTATAGCCTTGGGTTTGGACCAATCACAGCCATTTGTTCAGGCCAATCAGGCTCTTGCCTCTTAGTACATTCATGATCATTGAGGCTTGTGTTTTGGGACAAGAAACCTCACCTCTTAGCACCGGCAATTGGTCCTTCCACCAAGGAAAGTGCTCATCCTCAACAGCCAAAGCCGAAATGGTTGCAGGGTCATCTAGAGTTCACGAGTAGCGTTTCTGATGGCAAAAAGTCTGGCACAAACCATTTCAAGCAGCCATGGCTGCGGCTGTGCATTTCAGATCCCGGGCAGTCAGCTGTGGTCTCTTCATAATTATCCCAAACCATCTGGAGAGTGTGGAAGGTAGTGGGTGCCGTATGAAATTGTAGTCCAGCTGCCTCTTAGACACGGTTGTTTTGTTCCTGGGTCGCAAGGGTGTGTCCACAGCTGCTAGTGAGGAAGTCAGATTGCCCCAGCCTCAGTGAAATCGCACAGTATTAACTTAAAAGGTACCTGATTGATACTGAGTGTGATTTTAACAGTGCTTGAACAGAGCCCAACACTTGCCCAGTGACCGGGATGGAGTGGACTCTTCATCTGTCTTAAACTCACACTTAACAAATTGACAGATTAATGCCATTTTCCTGAGAAAGAAAAAAAAAAATCTATGAACTTGAGAAACATAGGCCACAGGCCTTCGTTTTTGTAACTTGTGAACATTTGAAATTTTCAACTGGACAGTGAGCACAGATGTTACGATCTTGGTTGGTATGGTTGGTTAGTTGGTTTTGCAGTAAGTTTTCTCTAAATGGCCCAGGCTAGCCTCCAATTGGCAATCTTCTGCCTCATTCTCCCAAGTGTTGGGATGGCACACCGCTGGTTCCTAGTGTTTTTGTACCTTTGATAGCTGCTAATATTTCAGAATTTGGTCAAAGAGAAAGCGAGTGGGGACTGAATGAGGAACACTGAAATCTCCTTGCTGGAGCAGCAGCATGGCTAGAAAGTGAGTCAGTTGAAACAAATTTCACACTGGCCCCTGGAGGCAACAGGACCATGGAAGGCAAGAGTGAGGCATGACCAGACAGAAGCCGAGTAAGCTCATTCTGCCTCTGGAGACATCTGCCCTCGGATCGCCTACACCACTCAAACTAGTCTCTCGCTACTCCCTGGAGGAAGTGAGATGCATAACCTCAGAACTCATGTCCATTCAACATCGTTGACAAGTGAAGACCAAGGAGTCAGTAGACGGTCTATTTGCTGAACTACAGGGCTTCTGGGATGGAGAGGGGTGGTGTTCCCCACCCCCCCCCACTGTAACAGTGGAAGATCTGAGATGAAGAATAGATGTTCTATTTACTGAACTATGGAGTTTCTGGGGTGGGAGGGGTCGTACTCCCCACCCCTCACTCTAACAGTGGAAGAGCTGAGATAAATGCTATCTGGACCACAAAGCCTCAAACATTTACCAAGTAGACCTTGCTGACATGTACTTAGAGGAAAATAAATGTGCTCAGATAAAAGACTCGAGCTCTGTATTTCAGAGCTCTAGTAAAAAGACAAGCAGGCTGCCTGTGACCTGGATGCCCACCCGTTGACAGACTCTGTCCACATGCACGCCCAACCTCCTAGCAGGTTTGGGTACTTGACTCGTCAGTACAAATGGATGTCCAAAGATTTTTCCAGATCCTCAAAGTAAAGCCCCAGACTGATGGGGTAGCATTTACACATTCAAACAGAAGAAAGGGGCTTGGAGAACCAAAACCAACTCAACCAACAGAAGAAACACAGTAAATATGAAAATTAGTGACCTTTGATATAGGAGAGGACCTTTCATCAATAAAACAAGAAATTTGGAACCACGGTAAGAATGTCTTGAGCATGTGTCCACCTACATTTTAAAAAAGACAGACAAACAAGGGATGAAATACTAAAAATTAGACTGTTCATATGTTAATAAAAATTGTGTCACTGAACAAAAAAATTGGAGATTAAGGCTATTTTTTTTTCTTTTTTCAAGATAGGGTTTCTCTGTGTAGCCCTGGCTGTAGACCAGGCTGGCCTCACCTCAAACTCACAGAGATCCACCTGCCTCTGCCTCCCTGAGTGCTGGGATTACAGGCATATGCACTGTTCCTGACCGAGATTAAGGGCATCAAAATAGCAAAGAAATAAAATTTACGGGAGCATTTTAAATTTGTATTTCACTTTATGCTCAATATGAGGAATAAAAACAACAGGTGGATAGACCACCATGAAATTGCAGAGCACTTTAGCAATAAAGAGGAGACTCTAAATCCACACAGAGAGAAAGTAACAGAGTAACAGCAGAGTAACAGCAGGGCACATACGGACCCGGAGTTCTCAGTAGTAACACTGGACAGCAAAAACATAGAGAATTCTGAAGGGGGGGCGACTTTCAGCATAGTTACCTATGCCCACTGCTGTCAGTCACATATGGAGATTGACGGGGCCATTTTTAGACCTCTAGTCCTCAAATATTTAGCTCTAGAACCTTTGTTAGAAGCCTATGAGATGATATGCTGCTTCGTAGACAAAGAGTGAAATCAAGAGCCAGAAATGGAATATGTGGAATGAGAACTCAACATGTAAGTGAAGAGAGTGCCAAGATGATGGTTTGTGTCAGGGCCAGGGGGCCGGCAGTCCATAGAGAAGCAGGGGACTGTGGGCTATGGGGAGCGTCTGATACAAGATGTGGGGGAAAAATCTATTTCTAGATGTTTACAGATTTGCTAAAAACCATTGGAAAGGAGTGGGATGCTGTTAGCTGAGCAGCCCACAATTTTATTCAGTTTAATAATATGGACCCCAGGGCGCCGTCTTGCTGTAACTCGCCAGGATGACGAACACGGAGGGGAAGAGGAAGGGCACTCCCTGTATGTTCTCCGGGCCTTTCAGGAAACATGAAGTTGTTCCCTTTGGCCACACACGCGAATCTACAAAAAAAGGGTGACGTTGTAGACATTGAGGGAGTTTGGCGCTGTTCAAAAAGGAAGGCCCCAGAAGTGTTATCACAGTGAAACTGGAAGAGTCTACAGTGACACCCAACCTGGGCATCGCTGTGAACAAGCAGGTTGAGGGCAAGATCCTCGCCGAGAGGATCAGCGTGCACACTGAGCATATCAAGCACTCGAAGACCTGCAGCACGGGAAGGAGAACCACCAGAAGAAGAAAGAGGCCAAGGAGAAGGACATCTGGGTTTAGCTCAAGCGCCAGCCTGCGCACCCCAGAGGAGCGCACTCTGTGAGGACCAACGGGAAGGAGCCGGAGCTGCTGGAGCCCATTCCATATGGGTTCACGACCTGATGCACAAAAAAATAAAGAACCCAGACTGTAAAGTGTGATTAAATAAATAAATAATATGAGGACTGATTTAGCAACAGTGGTTGGATGAATTCATCTGGGCGTTCCTCAGAAGGCAGGGACCTGGGGTGCCAGGGGTCTAGTGAGTCAGAGCTAAATCCTTGTCTCAAATGACTAAATCAAGAACAGTTATAAAAGCACATGCTCTAGAAACATATAGTCAAATGCTGGAAGAAACAAAACATAGAGGGAAGAGGAGTCTGTGGTAAAAGATGGTTTGGGGGGTGGGGACAGCTGATGCTAATTGCCCCATATGTTAACTTAGAATTGTGTGAGAGGCAGTTAGGTTCACTGGGCTCATTACACACATACACACACACCCTACCCTTAACTACCTAAAGTAACTAGCATTGTCCCTAGCCATTTCTATTTTCTATATGTATATATATATACATATATCCATGTCTCTATATAGAGAGAGAGACATATATATAGACATATATACATATATATGTGTAAACTTGTACTCAGGTAGGATTTTAAAGTCTATACAGGAAGTGAGTCATTTGGTTGAGAGCTCTCTAGAACTGTGGAATTCTCTGTGGACTCTATTTATTTTTTTTTGAAATCCATAATCTTTGGAGCTTGTGACCTCTGTATTAGTTAAGCTGGCATGAGCAGGGGGAGGCGTCAAGGTTTCAGGAAAGAGTCAAGTGTTGGGAGGGGACATCAGTGTGTGCGGACTAAAACCTGTGGAAACAGAGAAAAACGAACATGTCTGTACCAGGAAGGGAATTGGAGAGCTGAGAGGGCTCGGCTAGTCAGAGGGGGAGTGGGCTTTCTCCTGCGGAAGCTGCTGGTTGGTGGTGTAGGGCAGAACTGGAGCGTTTTCCTGGGAAATCAGTTCTTCTTTGCCTTGCTTCCTCCTACAGCTTAATCACTTACACAGAGCAGTATGTGGAGTATGACCCTTTCATAACACCAGCAGAGCCATCTAATCCCTGGATCAGCGATGACGTCACCTTATGGGACATAGAGATGAGGTAATAGATACATAAATAAGGTTTGGGAGTGGGAGAGGTGTTGGGGGGGAGGGGACCATAATCACATGTATTACCTTTTTTCCTGTTTTGATTTGAGTAAGACTAGTGACCACCACACTGGCATCTGCCTACTCGAGGTTCCTGCCTCCTTATAGCTTTGACTTGTACTTGGGTTCTCTCTGACCATCACGGTAGTTGGCACAGATCCTCACCCTTTCCCAGCTCTGGCAGCCTCGACTTGTCTCCTTCCTTTCAGGTAGCAGCAAGGCCAGCTAGCCCCTCTCTCTGCTGTCCCTCTCTCCAGCAATTTCTGCCAAACCCCCTGAACTGTGAACATTACTCTCACTGGGGAACAGAGGAGGACACGGAGGCAGAGCTGGGGAACCTTCCCAAGGCTGCAGCAGCTTTAAGGGTGGAGCCCAGGCGGAGGGCTCCTAGGCTGGGTGGTCTCACACTGTCTTCTGAGGTCACAGGCATTAGTAGTTTCATCACTGGGTGGCTCTGCCCTGGGAAGGAAACAAGCATGTTGACAATAGCTGAGGAGAACTCGGATACAGTCAAAATTCCTGGCCGTGCGGGGACAGTTCTGTGTGGGACTCCTTCACCCCTGCCCTCAGATCCTTCTATCCTTCTCTGTTACTCCAGTGTCGCCTTTCTCTTTTAATAAGTCATAGATAACCTACTATAAAAGGGTAAACCTATCCCAGTGGACATAAAGAAGAAAACTCCTCTCTTCTTCCAACCTGCCTTCCAGGAAGCACCAGTGCCCCGGTTCCCACAGTGCAGTAGGGTGCCAGGACACTGAGAGAACTCGCTAGGTAGTGTGAGCCACTGACAGAAACGCCGAGGATATCTGTCGCACATACTGGCTTAGGTTGATTCAGTGTGAGGATCAGACCACACCCCATCCTTTTTAATGTCACACCTTTGCAAATCCACGTTTTCAGAGGAGTGTTCTGACTAAAAAGCTATGCACACCAAAAATCAGCATGGACTAGGAAATGAAGGTGGCCATGGTCTGGTCCAATCAAGTTTAGAAAGTGTGCAGTGTGTAACATAGATACATGGAGACTGTCTTAGTCAGGATTAAGATTGATGTGATGAAACATCATGACAAAAAGCAACTCAGGGAGGAAAGAGTTTATTCTGCTTACACTTCCAGATAACAGGCCATCGCTGAGGGAAGTCAGGACAGGAACTCAGACAGGGCAGGAACCTGGAGGCAGGAACAGATGCAGAGGCCATGGAGGGGTGCTGCTTACTGACTTGCTCTGCATGGCTTGTTCAGCCTGCTTTCTTATAGAACCCAAGACCACCACTCCAAGGATGGCGCCACACACCATTGTCCAGACCGGCTCACTTCAACTGTTGGTTAAGAGAATGCTCTACGGGCTTGCCTATAACCCAATCTATGGAGACAATTTCTCAGCTGAGGTTCCCTCTTACCAGATAACACTAGCTTGTGTCAAGTTGACATAAAAACTAGCCAGGAGAAGGGTTAAGAGTGAAATTAAGACATTTTTTTCTTTCAACGTATATGCATTTTATGTAGTTGCTAAGTTGCTAGGATACAAGTACATGTTAAGTTGATGGGTCCTAACCTTAGATAAACAAAAATGTTAGGTGTTCCTTTGGGCTCAGGATCTCAGTAAGTAAGATCTCACTTACTGAGACCTTCAGAGTGCCATGAACTCAGAACATTTGAGAGGGTCTGCCTCTTGAAATTTTCATATGTAAAAATATTCTCATCTTTAATGTAATTATGTTCATTATATATATATATGTATATATATATATACAGATAGATATGAGCTGTTTTAATTATCATTATATATAAACACATACATACAAGTCTACCTGATTCTTCTTAATACATGCATAATATCCCCTGGTATGAATGAAGTAAAGTTTATTTAACCAATTCCTGGGCCATAACTATTTAACTCATGTCTTTTTCTGTAATATAAACAACAATGCAAGGAACATTCCTATCCCTAAGCCTAATTAGTTTTTTTATACTATAAATTTTCCGGGAGTAGAATTACTTGAAATGGAATGCCTACTTTAGTTTTAGCTCATGTGCCAGATTTTCCTAAATAAAACTGAACCCACTTTTTCCATGCCTTCAGTTAATGCAAACCCTGGCATTAACATTCTTTCTATCTTTATAATTCAGTAGGTTGAAATAAATTTAATTTTGCTTTCTATTTCTCCACTGGTGCAGAAATATCTTAACTGAAAAATTGTCATGTGGTTGTCTGAAATTCATACCTCTGTGACTTCCAGGAATCTGTCTGTCCCTTCGCATTTTCCCCTAGTGGTGGCTTTGCTTTGGATATTGGGATACAGAAATCCCATTTGCTTTGGCTTGCTTTTTTCCTGATTCTTCCTTTTTTTTTTTTTTTAATTTCTTTTCCTCTTCCCCAACTTTTGATTTTTTTAGTCAACTTTTGCGTTGCTGGGATAAACGCTATTGACAAGGGTTTATCTGAGCTTATGTTTCCATTGGGTTAACAGTCCATCACCATCATGGAAAAGGGGCATGCATGGTGGCTGGAGCAGCAAGCTGAGAGCTCACATCCTAAACCCCAAGCAGGAAGTAGAGAGTGAAAACGAGGAGTAGGGCAAGCCTTAAAGGCTCAAAGCCTGCCTCCAATGGCATACTTCCTCCAACAAGGCCTTTGGAGTTCCTAAGTCTCTCTAAGGGACACCACCAAGTGGGAACCAAGTGTTCAAATGTTGAGACTACAGGGAAGATTTCTCTTGGAAACCACCACATCAGGAGAGTCTCTGCCTTCCCAACCCAAGAATTTAAAGCTTTCATCAACTCCGGGTATCTTTTTTTCCCCTCCCCTCCTTCTGTTCATAATTGCTTTAATTACTGCTTCTGTATTTTCCATATTATTCTCTCTCATTTTTTAACTGTTTAGGTACATTTTCATTCATCTTTCTAAGGTTTTAAAAATTTATTCTTTAAAAATTCTCTGTCTGTCTGCCTCCCTCTTTCTCTGTCTTTCTCGTCTCCATCTTCCTCTCTGTCTTCCTCTCCTTCTCTCTGCGCTCTCTCTCTCTCTCTCTTTCTGTCCTCTCTCTGTCTTTTATCCTTTTGTAGGAACTCTGGGGTGTAGCTATTAAATCTCTTTAGTGGTTCCCCTGTGTTGCTCAGATGGTTTTTGTTTTCGGTTTTTTGGTTGGTTTGTTTGTTTCCTCTTTATGTTCTTGCCACCCTGTCATCAGTGGCGGCACCATACTCTGCTCTCGTTGTTTTTATCAGAATCTGTTTTCTTTCTCTCTCCCCTTCCCTCCTTCCCTCTCACTCCCACTGTCTCCTGAGTAGCCTGCTTCCATAATGTGGAGCCTGTTGTGTGGTTCAGGGTTTCTTCCATAACGCCTGTCTAATGCTGACCTCACTGCTCTATTGAAATCCCGCAGCTCAGAGCTTCAAGGCCCTCTATTTTCTTTCACAGCTCTGCTGTACTTACGGACTGTCCTCTGAAGTCACATTCAATTCAGGCCTCCCTGAAAGGCCCATCTGCCTGAAGAACATGTCTTTTTTCTCTGCATATTATGATTAGGGTTTAAAACAACAAACGAGGTCCATTTCACTGAGCTTCAGAATCTCACCTGTTCAGTCTTTCTGAGCCAGCTGTTGCTCCTTGCTGGCTTTCATTCTCACTCAAGCCTTCCCAAGCATAGTGACCAGCTAGCGTAACGACACAGGTGTCCCACCCTCCAGCTGGAATGTCACACCCCCTCTAGTTCACTTCTAAAGAGGACCTAGGATATGCTTCAGTGTCTAGTCTTCTAACTGGCACACAGTTAGCACTCAAAAGTATAGGTTGGGTGAAGGGTAGATGGCTAAGCTATTCCTTCTTAGGGAATTTCACTGATATTTGCAAAAAGACACGTGCCCAAAGCTAATTCACTATAATAAAATGAATTTTCTCACTTGTCCCTAACTAGATAAAGAATCATATAATCATTTGGGGAAATGGTGGCCACCGTACCACTTGATTTATCTCAGACTATTCAGCATTCTATCTTCCACATAGAGCCACGTGCCCTGTAATAGATGTTCTGTTTTTTATTGTTCAGATCTGTTTTTATTGTTCAAGCTTCTACCCTAAGCCAGTGTTTAACCTAAGAAAAGATACAGCCATGGAGTCTAACCCAAGCAAACAGATCTCTATAGACTCAGGTGGAAATGAAATCCTACTTCTTCTCCTGGCAGAACAGCCATATCCACTCAGGGACTCAAGGAGCTGTCAGAAGAAATGCAGAGTGTGAGATCAGTGCTGACATCACACTTCAGCCCTAGTAACGGCCCCTGTCTGTACAGTAAAGTCAGGAGGTGACTAAAAAAATAGTCAAAAGTCGGTGTTTTCTTAGTATCATTTTCAGTCAGCCCATTTGTATTGAGACCTACTTTGTAATGTGTTCCAAATAAAAAAATCCTCTGGAGAAAAATCTAACAGAGTCAATAAAAGCTGCTGTCTTGCCACCTGGCACCAGAATTCCTCCTTGTTTGGCAAAGGGCAGTCAGCCACTGGGGGCAGAAAACAGGTTCTGTGGGCAGGGCTTTGGCAGACTCAACCAACAAAGGAAAGGGTTAGGCTGTGTCCAGGGAAAAAGTGAGATGAGCGAGCTTTCTGAGAGAGGAAAACAAAAGGCAAGAGGGAGGGAGAAGAACCAGGGCAAGATTAGAAACCAGGGAAATTCTGGTAGCAAGTGACAAAGGGCTTTTCAAAAGCAGGAATATCAAGTACATCAGCTGCCAGGAGAGGTCATAGGTGCCTCATCTCCAGGCCTCCAGTATCATCCATGTCTCCTATCTCCCCAGACTTCATGTGAACATGGCTAGTGATACATGGAAGAGGAAAAGCCATGTGCAAACAAGTAGAATGCTATGGGAATGACCTTTCACTCATCTGTGCTGGGCTTTAGACATCTTCTGGGTTACAGAGAAATCCAAGCTGACTTATTTTGAGCTCTAGGCCTGA